CAGATCTCCTAGCTCGGCGACTTGGGGGACTCCTACTATAGGGTTTGTATCGCACTTGACCAAGCCCGAAACTACAAGTAAGCTTCAAGTGAAATTGATACATTACCTTTGTGCATCTTCATCGGTTAAAGATATCACCCCATGGATGGAGGAAAAGTACTTCCAGAGAAGATGCCACATCTACATATGAGACAGATAAGGCACGTGAAAATGATACCACACTTCAGTACTTAGAAGTTTTGTGATTACTCAATGGCTTGGATCTTGCAAGTCCCCAACCGAGGAGCTTCCCTCACTCGGGAACTTAGGGGAGCACTGTTTATACCATACTTGACCAATCCCGAAACTACTGAGCACCGGTCAACGTTATACTGTCAAGGACCCAGAAGAGCTTCCCTTCAACCAGGAGGCCAATCACAATGCGACACGTGTCGACATCAGAAGCCAATCACAGCTCGACACGTGTCAACATCAGAAGCCAATCACAACACGACACGTGTCAATGTTAGAACAAAACTATAAACTCTCTTCTATAAATAGGGATCATTCTCCCACAATAATCTCTAATGTCATTTTGTACTAAACTATTCACTAGAACTCACAAAATGAGAGCTTGAACCTATGTATTTGTGTAAACCCTTCACAATTAATGAGAACTCCTCTACTCCGTGGACGTAGCCGATCTGGGTGAACCACGTACATCTTGTGTTTGCTTCCCTGTCCCTATTCATTTACGTACTTATCTTCACTAGTGATCGAAGCAACCAAGCGAAGGTCACAAACCTGACACTTTCTGTTGTACCAAAGTCCTCGCTGATTTTGTGCATCAACAAAGTGTTTCAAAATTAAAGATCAAATCTTATCTTCGATCAACTATGTCACAAGAAAAATTGGATGGATTAGCTATTTTTCTAATTGAAAAAAAATTGGTTGAAAAATTAGGTTATGTAAACTTAATTAGTACATTTGTGTGTAACAACGCGACACATATAATGTTTGTATATATTTCTTCTTTTCATATTAATTTTTAATAATATTTGATGTAGAAATATAGATTTCCATGTATTTAGCGAAAGATTTTTTTTTGTTATTGTTGTACATATCAATGTACAAAGAGTCGGATATTAGAGAACTCTAGGGCTCCAATTAGAAGAGTCGCCTAGGGTCCCCAAATTCTCAGGACCGGCCCTACCTCTTTGTTCTAGATAACAACTCCAACATCCCCAAGTTTTTGTGACTCTCTACATGCACCATCAACGTACCAGGCGGCGGTTCGGACCACTTGAGAGCTGCCAGGCTTTGATGGGCACGAGGGGCCACGGTGCAAGCCGACTGTAAACTTTGCCACCAGCTAATGATGCGGGCAACGATCATATCCGGTGTTTTTTTATTTTCCATTCTAAAATTCTCATTGCGAGTCTTCCAAATAGCCCACCAGACCATGAGTCACAGATGAAATTGGGTGTGGTTAAGATGGTAAACTAAAAATAGAGCCCAATCATGCATAGAATTTCGGTTAGGGTCAGTTAGAGGTTTCCTAATAATCGTAGGCAACCAAGCACATGAAGAAAAGCAACAATCCATCACCAAATGCAATGTGGACTCATCATTGCCGTTACACAACACAAACTGCAGGTCATTGCCAACATATCTCGACGCAAAAGTTCCACGGGTGGGGATGATATAACTGCAAATCCTCCAGACCCCAACTTTTACCTTTGGGGGAACCCGAGCAGACCAAATCTTTTTCCAAGGCCCACCATAAGCGGTGAGCCCCGCGGAGAAACATGCCTGACTCGAATTACCCATCAGAACGCCGCAAGCAACGTGATACACTTTTAACGGTGAAACGTCCCCCCTTATCGTAATGCCAGATAAGCTTATCGTCGAGGCATTTCAAACTTTAGGGCATAGAGATGATAGCTTGGGACTCGACATCCGTAAATAAAGACTTGATAAGGGGAACCTTCCATTGGTGTGACTGTCTGAAGAGTTTGTCTTGTTTTGTATTGGTTTTTTTTTTCTTTCCTTTTTGCTGGTATGGTTTTGTTAATTCGCCTCACAAAGAACTACGAGGACATGTTCATGATGTCTCATAGTAGGGGTTTCTTTGTCGAAGAAGTATCGTCTTGTGCAAATTCATCAGAAAGTGATGAAAGGTATTGTCCTCATGAGCGTTATCTTTCTATCTAGTGAGATGTATGTGGGATAGATTTTGTATTGTCTTTTTGTTACGTTTATAATCATAGAATTGTGTTCATGTATAATGTTCTTCGTTTTGTTTAATTAATGAAATACTTATTACCTTAAAAGAAATTCCTCATCCAAATATAGTGTCATGAATTTTTTTTTCAAACTTCAATTGTAATACTAAGGGATACCTACAAAATGGTCATCTTTGTAAAATCTTTATTTAGTAAAACTCTGTTTAGGAATGAACATTAATATGAAAATTCTAGACAATTCTTTACCAATTGGTCATCTTTTACCAATCATTTTATTCTTTACCAAATAGTCATCTTCTACCAATCATTTTTCCTTGTATGTAAAAGTGTATAAGTTGTATCTACTCCACAAATTCATGTACCCAAGTTGGCCCGGCTAGGTATATTTTCCATTTTTCCTAATCAAAATTTAAAATCCTTTGTGCTTTTACATTTTCCATAAGGACAAACGGATTTATTTACATGTCTAGGTACGTTGCATATGGTACATTAATATTCAAACACAATTTTTATAGAAATTATTTTGCCATAGCTATTTTTTCTAAATAAATAAAAATGAAAGAAATCCCATTTATCTCTCTTGCCTAATCATTAGTTTGTTACTGAATACAGAAAAAAAAAAGTGTGTATCAGAAGGTGATAGTGAATTAGAAGGTGATAACAAAGAGATAAAATAAATTTATATATGGGGATAATGATTTAGAATTATCTCAACTGAGTTATAACGATCAACTAAAATAACCGAGTAACGAGAAATTCAAATAAATGACTTTATATCAAGTTAAAGTTTTCACTAACGCCCAAGAAAGATTATACAATTTATTGCGAAAATACTATCGAATGGTCAATTAACTGAAATAACAAACAACTTTTTCTCTTGACATTTTTTGTTGGATACTAATAACGATCAACTAAAATAACGAAATAACTAATAACGATCAACTAAAATAACGAAATAACTAATAACGATCAACTAAAATAACGAAATAACTAATAACGATCAACTAAAATAGCGGAATAACTAATAACAATCAACTAAAATAATGAACTAACAATTATTCTTGATTAACGAAGTAATTCATCTCTAGTTAGACCAATACATTCAATTAATTAAGAAAAAAAAAATACTTAATTCGATCCGACTATACTCATGCATAATCTAATGAGGAAGTTCCTCTTGTTTACTTCGTGAATATTTTTTTTTTGAACATCATAGTGGTTAGGTCTTGAAGATTTCATGAAAATGACCTAGCTAGGTCAATGGACGCGACCCTTATTGTTCCATGTGCACTCTAGTAAGCCACAGAATTAAAGTGGAATACTATCCGGCTTTTAGGGGTGTGAGATTCACACAATCATTTTTACGATTCACACAATCATTTTTACTTTTCACACATCCTTTTAATTTTCGGCCGCTGGATTATATGAATTGAAAAAAATTAACGGATAAAAATTAACAAAGGTTGTGTAAGAAGTAAAATGAGATGTGTGGATAACATACCCCTTTCTTTTTATCACGAAATGGTAATAAAAATTAGGGTTACAAAAGGTAGTAGTCACTGAGAGGCGCATAGCGTGACAGTGTGTCTCAGAGTGAGGCTCTAATTCTGGCTGTAACCGTACAACCAAAGATTTCCAACTGGTCGTGTCTCGTCTGGTCAGAAACCACCGTGCATGCACTTTGCTATTTACCAAATGTGTCCAAATTCCCTTAAAAGTTTCAAATCATCCTCATCTGCGAGCTTTCACTCTGTGTATAAAAACCCCTCTTCCCTTCACTTGTTCAGACATACGAGAGAGAGAGAGAGAGAGAGAGAGAGAGAGAGAGAGGGAGAGAGAGAGAGAGAGAGAGAGAGAGAGAGAAACAAGTTATACAATAGCGGACCTCTGGCGCCATTTGGTATAGCATCTTTCCTTAACTCTAGTTTTTTATTTTATTTTTTTTGTATATTTCAACTTATATTTATATGTCATCGTATCTAATTCCGATGATCTGTATGTGCTGATCCTTTGTCTATGTCCGATGTTTCTGTGTTAACTAGAGGGATTAACTTAATGGAGGATTGGTGGGGCTAGATAAAGATAGACAGATTAGGGTTTTAAATTGGGTAGAAAACATCAAAAGAAAGGGTTCTAGATTTTAGTCTCACTTTGGATTGCGAAGGGCCGAGGGTGACGGCCGGGAAGAACAAATCTACTAAGGGCATAGATAAACTCATCCTCATCAGTAACCTTTCACTCTTCCCTTCACTTGTTTCAGACACAAGAGTTAAGAGAGAGAGAGGGAGAGAGAGAGGCTTATACAATAGGTGCTGACGTCCACTTCTGGCGCCTTTTGGTATAATATTTTTCCTTAACTTTAGATTTCGATGTATATATATATCATCACATTCTAGACCTACTTGCATTAGATCTAGAATGTGTCAGCAATGTCATTAATTTTGTTTGTTTCAATAGCATTGCTCTTTTTAGCCCAAAAAGTTGCATTAATCTTATTTCAATAAGCCTTTATTTTTTACCACTCAATTGTGTTCAAATCAAGTGTAGAAGCTCTATGGTACAATTTCACTAGGGGTTTGTGTCGTCTTTTTAAGAATCCTTGCGAGTTTAAATTCTTACTGCGTTTTATAGAATTTCTTGAGCCGATTCATAGTGTTTTTACTTTTGAATTGAATTCTCTAACTCTTACAGTTTTGTACTCTATGCCCTAAGAAAATCTAAGTTCTTGTTCATTTCCATACCCCTTCTCTTAACCAGACTGCAGCCATGAAAACAATGTGTGAGATATTATCAGCTGGCGCCAGTGAATCCAAAGGAGACTCTTCTCCAAGTAAGTGCACCAACACCGATCGCATCAGCGCATTGCCGGATCATATTCGTCATTCCATTACCTCATTACTGAGTATAAAGGATGCCATACGCACTAGCACATTATCCCACAAATGGAGAACAACCTATGCTTACAAGTCAAGCCTCGAGTTTAATTGGCATGACTTAATTCCAAACCCAGCCAACGAAGATCCTTTAGGAACAGTTTTAAGGGCAAATGTGAAGCAGTTCCAAGAAAAAAATAGATAAATTCATATCATGTTATTTGGGGACGAAGATTGAGTCGTTCAAGGTTCGCTGTCGATTTGGAAGTAGGCATGCGCTTAAAATCAACGGCTGGGTGGACTCTGCTATTTCAAAGGATGTTGACCTAGCTTTTACTTGTGATGAGGTGCTCTCTCAACGTACTAATGATGTTTCGGAAGCCATAGACTACTATGATTTCCCTACTCATATGCTTTTGAGTGGTGAAGAACCAAAATTTATCAGGCATCTTTCCTTGCTGACGTGCACCCTCCGGTCAGATATTTTTACCAGACGATTTAACGCCCTAACAAATCTTGTGCTGTCGGATTGTAAATTCATCGGAGGTGTAGAGCCACTTGCCTTTTCATCTGGGCAAAACCTTGAGTTTCTGAAACTCGACTACTGTTCGGGATTGGGAAGTATACTGCGCTTTGACTCACTTTACCGTTTGAAGACCCTAACGGTGACCATGTGTGACGGCTTGAAGAGGATTGAGGTAACCAATGCCCCCAGTCTCACCTTTTTTCGATGTCACGGCGATGGAAATATAGAGCTCTCTTTGGATGTGGTTCCCAATTTGCAAGAAATGTATGCTGTTTTGGACGGAATCGATGTGATTGAAAGCTTTCTTAAGTTGGAGAGAGAAGTTCCTCATGTCCCTTTCCTTGGAGTTGGCAAACCTATGCACAACTACGCTCGACCGGTTTAGGGCTATTACATTTTCCTTTTTATGGCTAAGTGTGAGGAGTTTAAGGGAAGGGGGACTTTGGATGCGGTCCCTAGTTATGAACAATCTTTGACTGAAACCTTATTGGTTTTCAATTTTTGATCCAAGTCCCTGAAATTAATTGATAATTTATTTCTATGTACGTTACTATATTTTTTAAATTAAAAATTAAAATTTATAGTTGTTTATAGTAATGAGATTTTAAATAAAAAACCATAATTTGTGGGATTAAAAATATTAAAATATAAATATACTATTGTGTGTGTGTGTGTGTAAACATGGGTACATTCATAAAAATAACCAAAAAATTATTGTATCAAAACATGGGTACATTCTTCAAAATGGGTACATTTAGCAAAAATAAAAATGGGTACAAATAAATAAAAAAATATGGGTACAATACAAATAAAACTTTAAAAAATATGGGCACAAAAAGAATTTAATATATGGGTACAAATTAAAACTGAAAAAAAAATTGGTACAAATTAAAAAAGGGTTGCAAATTAAAAATGGGTACAAACTAAAAATAAAAATATATGATAAAAAATTTAGCCATAAGTATAAATATACTAATTGTAACATTTTTAATATTAAATGAATATATTTAGAAATAAAAAATATTTTATTATTGAAATAATTAATGATATTATTAATACAAAGGACCTTGATAAAAAATTGAAAAGTAATAAGGTTTTAATCAATAGAGTAGTAAAAATAAGGATGAAAACCTAATTACTCCTTAAGGGAATTACATTTTCCTTTTTATGATGAACTGTTTATAATTGAGGTCTGTTGAGTTTCGTTATGTTTCTCGTGATTGCAATAAGGATGCCCACTTAGTTATTCAATACCATGATGGCTGATGTAAACGTTTATATTCGTATTTAATGAAATATCTATGGTTGAAAAAATATAATCTATATATGTAAAGGGAGAAGCCCACCAAATAGGTGAAGCTTTCAATATTTCAATTATGTCCTCATTTCAAAAAAAAAAAAAAAAACACAAAACCATGCATATATAGAAGGACTATAATTGTAATACACAAAATTAAAATTGTAATACAATATCATGAAAGGCGCCCAGACTTGTAGATTGATTCTTCTAACCCATTGATTACTCATCTCTATACCCAGCGAACTCTCCACGAGCGGTTATAGCGGTTGCAAAGTTGCACGATTGAAATTGTACTGTTCTGGAGAAAGCAATTCAACCTCCCATACGCTCTCATATCGTCTTTTTTGGTGGTGCTTCTTCATCCATCATACAGTTTTGGTGCTTCTTCTTTCATTTGGTGCTTCTTCAACATTGAAATTTTCTAATTCTATTCATTTTGTTCAATTGTTGTTGAATTTCGATTTGGGTTTTGCAGTTCGGATTTGATTTGGGGATTTTGAAAATGGTGAATGCTGAGCCAGTTATGCCACAACGGGTACGTGAATTTTCATGCCAAGACAGTTCATTTCTTTTGTGTAATTTTGATCTTTTGCTGATTTCGATCGAATTCCAATATTTTTTTTTATATGCTTAGTTTAATTTATAGTTGTTCATTGAAAAAAGAGAAAGAAAAAAAAAACAGATAGAGAAGAGACGTGCTGAATTAAGTCGTCCATTTTAGGAGAAAGAGAAACCCGTGGCGGAAGATGTTCAATAAGTTCGGAGCAACGGAGACTATGGAAGGCCTCGACAATGGTGTTCCAGATCGACACTGAAGCCCATCTCTACGAGGATCCCCACTACGTCAGCGTCGCTCCTCTCCTTTCGACTCCGACAAGTGCAAGGCTCTCAAGTGATTGCTCGCTCTCATCGCCCAGGGCTTCCAAGTCTCCAATTTCTTCCCTGAGGTCCCTCTCCAACTTCATCACTCTTGAATTCGAATCCGAAAATTGATATAAATTTGAAAAAGCGAAGCAATCAATTTTGTAATTTGAATTCCGTTTCGACTGAATTTTGTACTGTTTCCTTTTCGTTTCTTTGGCTTTTGATTTCTATCTCCTTTTTATCTTGTGTTTTAATTTCAGATTCTAGGATTGTTTTTATTCATCCATTTCCCCCGTTTTTTCCAATCTTTTCCTGCTTTTTCCCATACGAAGTGCATTGCAAGAAGGAGAGATAGAGGTACTGCATTGTCTGACGGAGGAGGGATAGGCCGAGCAGCATATGGCCATTTTTAATGGAACCAAAGTCACATAGGCAACAGCCCGCAACTGAGTAGGTGTAGCTGACTTTTTCAAAGCTTTTATTTTATTTATGCATATAGTAAGTATCCTTAAAACTATTGGTGATGCTTGCAGAACGAAGTCGCTTTAGACACAGTAAAGAGTAAATTTATCAAGAAGCAATTTTGAAATTTTCCCAATCTCATATTTTCATATTCCAAACTGACTCTCAAGCAAGACATCAACTAATTTCATTGGAAATTGTAGTCGGAACTCCAAAAATCTATTAGCGCTTCTTACGAGAGTAATTTTCTTTCTGATATGGAAAATTTGGAGTGTACAATTACACTTTTTGACTGCCAATAATAGTTGGTTCCCATTTCGTAAATTTATTATTGTTCTTATTTTATATTTTTCATTTTTCATATGGGTTTGTGATTTGATCTTGATTTATATTTTTCTTTTAGGTACGTGAAACACACTCTGAGCTTATTCAGTATGTCATTAATTAAGTTAGAATAAACTACCGTCATTTCATTTTTTGTCCATGCCTTAATTTTACTTGGATACTTTTATTTTGTGTAAGGTTTCTTTTGGGTTTTTTTCCATTAAAAACGTTGAAGCGAGAATCAACAATGGAGTTATGGATGCCGAGTAGAAGCCTGGTATTTTCCCATTTTTGCTTCTTTTTTTTTTTTTTTTTCTTTCTTTCTTTTCCAACAATGGAGTTGGAAATGTATTTTGCAATTACCATGCTATTATACTCTCTTTTTAGTAACTGTGTTTTGGTATTTATTTTTCCAAACCCAATAATTTCGGTAGTTGTTTTCTTGGTTTTTCGCTTTTATTTTGATTTACCATTTATATAGTGTGTGTTTTCTTATGGCACTATTGAAGCTTTTTTTATTCTTTCTAAATTTGATTGCTTTTTGGGCCGTCTTTTAATCTGATTTATTATCATCGTGATCAACCAAGGCATCACATTCTCATACACTATAGACATTGAATTAGTGGTTGAATTATGAATTGATGTTATAATATGTGAATCATAGCAAATATTTTTCAAACCATATATTGTTTAATGAATTGCAAAATGGTAATGCCATAAAAATATATGCTATGAGTATCTTGACACGCTACGACATATTTTATATTTGGCACGCTTGTGTTTCTTATTCATATTCATGATTAGTTATCATTTACACTTGCTTTTGCTTGATTTCTCATAAATTGGATGAATATATTTGTAGTATTTTTATTTCTTTAGCCAAGCAAAAGATTTGGTTGAGCAACAGGTGCATCAACCATTTAATATAAATAAGTGTGCACAACCTCGACATTACAAGGCCTTCAAATTCTCTGTTTTGGTTTTTGACGGATTATATTAGATTTTATTGATGTTCATTTGATGAAGTTCTTGATTGAAGAGCATATATTTTTTCAATGTCTACTATTTAGTTTATGTTGAGTTTAAGTTTGAGTTTTAGTGATGATTGTGTATTCAAAATCTCTTTCAGTTTGCTTTTGTTTGTATATATTTTTTCAATACCTTACTTTTTAGTTTGCTTTAGTTTGTATACATCTCTTCAAAGCAATTCTTCGAGTTGTAATCCTACTAGCTGTACAAAAAGGAAAGTTAAAGAGAAAATATGGAGAGGAGAGCCTCCTAAATTATTAGTGCAATATCTACTAATAAGGAGCAAGCCGACATATTTGGGTTTTCTGTTTTCCGAGAGTAAGGTTGCATAATGAAAGGGACTGCTTTTGGATATTGTTAATATTTATGGTGTCAGTTTTGTGTTGTAAACAGAAAAATAATTTTATTTTTCTCTACCAAATACTATGATGAAGTCTGTAAATACCAATACATATTTTCATGCAATTGTGATCTCCATGCTTATTGTTTTGTGTGGTTTGGTAAAAATTACCCCAGAGAGTTGACCCAATTTTATTCGATCTAGGATTGATTAAAAGAAGAAGATAAAGTGTTTTTTCTCAACAGAATGCACATTTCATTCAACTTGAAGAACTACTAATTCCCATGTTTAGTTTGTTTGTTGATAGCTTAAAACAATAGCAACACTGTTAATGTCCAAACCAAATGGATAAGAATAGTAAACAACCATATTTAGGGATGCGTAGCGCCCATGATTGAAAAAAATACCTCTCGCATGCATGTGAGCGCGTGCGGAGATGATATTATATATAAAGTGAGAAGTATAAAAGGGTGAAACATTCAAAATGCCACAAAATACCCTCATTTCAAAAAAAAAAAAAAAAAAAAATCGAGACCGTTACGGCTGCAGGTCTGCTGTCCCGAAAATGATGTCTCTTTCATGTCTCATTCTTTTTTTTTTTAACACGTGTCATCATACTTAACTTCAATTTTATTTGGTTAACTTTTCAACTTTTAATAAATAAATAAAAGAAAATAATAAAAGTAAGAAAACCTAACCGAAACAACTCTTCAGTTTCCCCCATCCCCTCCCTTACCCATCGCCAGCCCTGAGCCAAAGCCCCTCACTCACTTGGCTTAAGATTCGTATTGTTTTGTTTTTAATCAAATTGGCCGAAGAGTCGAGAGCGTTGTTACATATCTCTGTTTTTTTTTTGGTACAAATCTCTCTGAAATTTTCAAACACCAAATGCTCTGAAATCTTCTAAATCTGTCAGGAAATACAAATGTTGTCGGCGTCGTAGCGGCTGTGGGAAACCGCCACTGCTTGATTCGACATCGTCGGCGCGATGCATCTTATCGACATGAAGGAGATATTTTTTTTTACGGTTGACGCTTGAATCTTCTGACTCATGAGAACACTTCTC